AAAACCCCCACATATTTTTCTCTAACTTGCTTATCACATTTTCAAAGTAGGGCTATTAAGATGGGCCTTTTATTAACTAGAGACGTCGATGTTTATTAGTTTGCCTTATGATAAATTTGTCTCGACAGAAAAAATGTCAAACCCATACGTCAACAGCTGAAGTTCCTACTACTTTTCCCGATGGATATGAATCGTACTGAGTGATGTACACCACAAGTTGCCATGCTAACAGTTACTCATCAGCAAATATAGTTTTTGTTTACCCGGTTCCTGTCATAAAGGAATCAGCATTCTGCTGTGAATTTGGCCGGCAGTGTCTGCCTGGTGAGCGATGTAATTTGCGTTTGACTTTCAACATAAGATTGACAAGGGCTTATCTGCATGACCGTACACCCAAAGTTTATTCCATTCTACAGATTCTTCCGATAACATAGTTAAACTTTCTGTAGTTTAACATAAACTATTACCACGTGGTTGTTTACGGTTCTTTGCGGTTAATGAACTACAGCTGCGCACATGTTAAATTATTTCTCAGAAGGAACTCCGTCAGCTGATGTGTGCGTCTGTCTGCTGTCGGTAGGACACAACTTTTGCGATTAGACTGGTAGAATGTTGACATCTTCCTAAACAAATTTCATAGGATTTTAACATACCTCCTAGTTGCATTCTGTGGTGCATGCGCATGCACAAATCTAATTAATTTGGAAAACTAAGTTTCAAAGTATATACCCTGGTAAACAACTAAACTGGTAGCCGGTCCATATAACACATAAACGTATTCAGAAGTAGGTTTAGTATGATTTTAGATTTTTGACGTAGAGCAAATTTACTAATGGTCCTATATTTCGATGTGTATAACCACAGTTACAGGATAAATACTGAGGTCAAATGATCATTACTGCAATGCAGATGAAGCCGCTATTGTTTACAGAGATATGAGGATAAATTGTTTAAAAAATATATGGAGTGGAACAGCTAAGTATTTGCCTATAACAGCAGGTTATATAAACTTATCGGCTGATTGCATTAGTATAAAACCCAAGACAATAAAATACTGAGATACTGCGAACATTTTGATGTGCAGGATTTAAACCGATTCCCCGTCCACAACTAAAACTAGTTAGAATTCGGATTATTTTAAATTCTATCCGCTTTAGCTAAACCTTATAGATACTGGTGTAGTGGAGAAAGCAAAATGTGTTGACTTTAATAAAGTTTTATAGTGGATCTCAGTGTTATTTTCTTAGCTCTCACAGTATTTAGTCCTCGCTTATTTCGGCTTCTTTGTTTTACTTTTGTTACCATTCATATAAGTATTCGCAATATGGGAATTATTCTGAGGAAAATCAGTGATACCGTGATACTTGGATGTAATTACTAAATAAGTGTGATATAAAGTATAACATTAAAGAATACCGACAATTTCATTGAAAGGATACCGTTTAGAGAAGCAGGCATAGCTTTTTGTTGATTTGGGCAAATTTCTTGCAGACATTTCATCAGTGATCATGACGGGATTATCTGTGCGGAAGTACTTACGAGTTCCAGAGGAGTAATAAGGGGACTTAAATGGTATAGGTGGAAATTCATCACATCTAGGCTTACTCAGACAGCCGACACACGCCCGGTAATGCAGTGTACGCGCGTTTCATCATTTCGGGAAGAGTCAGCAGTGCGCATTCCATCGGATCCTGGTAGGGCACGAACCCGCAACTCGACTGTTGATAGTCCGTGGTTGAGACCACTGAGCTACGGTGGACGGCGAAGACCATATTGAATAAGTTACTAAATGTGATACAGAGCGGCGCATTAACCAGAGTTAAACGTTACTGCCAGGCAGAGGACAGGGTAACCCCTCACAAAGCGACGAGCTTACCAAACTTAAGCCGGCAATTAACGTATGGCATTATAAGCAGTTTGGTCTGCGTACTGATTACATGGAGTAATAGGGGTAGTTGAATAATATAGTGAGCGTCGCTATACTACATGTAGTAACTAATTCACGATGGTCGTCACCGTCCCCGGTAGCTCAGTGGTATCAATCACGGACTGGCTACAGTCGAGTTGCCGGTTCGAGCCCTACTAGGGTCCGATGGAAAGCGCACTGCTGACAATTCTCGAAGAGTTGAAACGCGCATTCAGTGCTTTCCGTGCCTATGCAAACTGTCCAAGTGAGTCTAGATGGGACGAATTGCGACCTTTACCATTCAACGCCTCCCTACTACTCCTATGTAATCAGTACGCAGAGTAAACTGCTTATGTTGCCAAAGTTAATTGGAGGCTTAATTTTGGTACGCGCTTTGCTTGGTGCGGGAGTTATCATGTCCTCTGCACGGCATTGACATGTAAGTCAGTGGATAGTGGCCGGGAGCTATATCAAATCTAGTAACACAACCAGCTAAACAAGATGAATGCAATCGTATGCGACAACCACAACTTTCAGAAGAATAATAGCAGCATCGACAAATAACAAATTGAAAGGCTGGTAACTAGCAAATTGAAAACATTGCTGCAACACGGGTTACTGACGTATGAAATGTCAAATGCACCTAAACCAAAAGGTTATTGCACCCCTCAGATGTACCGCCTACCAAACATCTACAAAGAGGGCACCACTTCTATCTATACTGTCCATGACTCAATCTCCGTATCCCAAACTGGCTTGCTGTTTAGTTGAAACAGTCGCAACAGTGTGGCAGACGATCGTTAAACGCACCTTGAAAGACACCATGGCAAAAGTCGAACACGTGCAAGGCATGATTATTGCTGATAAGATAATGTATTCTCTTGATGGTCAATCACTGTTTACCAAGGTCACGTGAAGCCACCGCAATTAGGCTGGCTCTTACCGTGCTTAGTTGTTTAGCGTGCCTCAGTGATCCACGAAGCTACGCTTAGCGGTGTTATTCTGCCCCATAAGAAGCATTCATACCAGATATGTCAATAGTTAGAGGCCAGAGAAACTTGGCCACCTGGTTCTCCAGGCTAGGGGTTGATATGTTGGTGGCTCCTTATTCCTTTAAATGGGCTCCTTCTAGCCGAACGCCAAACCCGCTGCATTGCATTCAGGTTTTTGAACCAAAGGCTTTGTTTGTAAAACTTACTCGCTCGACTGTGTAGGCCTGGGCTAAATGACAGTATCCTGCCCAAGCAGTCTTATGAAACTTGGCTCAAAATATTTTTTGACATTCTGGCCACCGCAGAGGATAATCAGCGGTGCCACATCTGCTTCATCGAACAGGGTGGATAGGGGTTTGTTTGCTGCTGCTCAAGACCTTCCGTCTTCTTATTTTCCCCTCTTACTCTTCACCCTTATCGTCGCGTTTCAGCTTCACTTTTTCCCATGTTGTTAACCCGTGCTTCTTGGACATCCGCTACCTTTCTTTTATAGTCGCTTGACTTATAGTTTCAACTCACATGTGAATGCGGAGTGTCATTCCTTCTCTGTCAACAGGCCCAAGTCCAAGCAAGCTGTCAAGCCCCGTTCATCTGCTTGCATTTGGAGCCCTCGCTCTTAATTTAGATTGGCCAGCTGAGGAAATACCAGCTGAGTAAAGAATGAGTATCAGATGTGATTTACAAAATTTGTTGCAAATATTGCGACAAGTATACTTTGGCAAGACAGGGAGGGAACTTCCTAAGGATTGCATGAACACAGTTTGGCCATCAGCCACCATGAAGAAAAGTCACCAATATCAGTAGATATCGATGCCGAAGACCATCAGTTCTATCTGGGAAAAGACAAGATACTTGGAAGAGCAAAGAACCGTAGAGCGTGTGAGTTCATCGAAGCCTGACATTCGGACCGGAACTCAAAAAACAAACACCTGGAAGTAGAGGGTGTCTTCGAAACTCTGCATTCGATGATAACAATAGCTACCAGATCGACAGGGCAAAGGCGCGACCAATTGACCGACTCACGTAAGCGAATCGAAGACTGATATTCAAAGCAGGAACCGATCAATGTTCACTTAGACTGACAGTGGCTTACGAGGCTCTGCGAATCAGACCCTACTAGCCGCAATGAGGAGGTTGCCAAGCTGGGCAATGAAACGTCTGCAGCCATATTACCCAGCTCGGAGAATACATCAATCCTCTCAGTTTACAAGCGACATAGTCCAGCCAAGTCCGGAAAAGCACCAGCCGCCTTTCGCTCTATTGGGACACGTCAGTGCTGCCCATTCCTTTGGTCCCCCATTGGAGATTGAACCCATGACAGCTAGAGGCAGGTGGCAACTAGCTAGCAACTTTAGCCACTGAGTGATAGGGGACTTTGGCAGGGCTACATAATAATAATCTAAATAATATTTAATATGCTGCATCGCTAACATTGTGACAGACATCATCCAAGACATGCTTACAGTCATGAATTTTGTCATATGTAGTGAGAGTTAGGAGAGCTAACAAAAGTATGCTTGTATGTACATTAATTCTGACCAGCTGGTAGCATACCTAAGGGAAGGTTGAAAGTTCCATTTAGATGAATGCAAGGTTAGAAAAATATTAGGCTTTACCTTCACTACACAACATATGCGCAGGGAGTGGGAGTAGATCAACTAGACTCCGCACGGCTTGTTGGTTGGATCATTTAGAAGCACTCGTACTGTGAATGGTTTGTAACGCGTAGGCTGACGGTTGGACATACAACACTCGATATCCAGCTGCTGTGTATGATTTAGTTTATTCCTCGCAAACTGAAAGGCGAAAACTAGGTAACTAAAAACCTTAGAAGCCCCACTTTCCACTTACCTCAAAAGAATCTGCTAATCGCTTAGATGCTTATTATCGATGTTGGTGCTTTCAGAATTTTAACAGTTCCACAACATAGGTAGCGTGCTACTCAATTGCACCTAAGTTCGTTCTACGCAAACTGAGGGCTGGTAAGTAAGGTTGCACAGTTAATCACTGAAATAAATCTTCGTGTAATTAGCTGTTACTAATTTACCCGGGAGTAATCCACGTCGTATCAGAAAACTGCATTATCAGAATAATTGCTTGCGTAATGTCATAAAAGCTCTTTATGTGGTAGTTTTCATAAAATTTGTACAACGTCATCACAAAATGTGCAGAAGGGTAGAGCAAGATGGGTTCATGAGGAATCCCGATAATATTGACTCCGTGCAACTGGAACAGAACTGCTCGATTTCTGTCAAGAGCCAACACCATTTTATGCGGTGTATGCACCGGGTGAGCTCGAGTTATTTCATCTGTACCACTATCTTCCACAAGGAATGCGCGTTCGAGGAACCGATGTTAAAATCCGCTGACCAGATAGAGTAAATCAGTTCGAACGTGCTGAAAGGCATCGCAGTAACATCGCTTCCACTATAAATAAATTTTTAAAGAAGGCTGACACATTTTGCGAGAAGTATGCTGAATAAAAGTAATTCCAGATTTAATTTTTTAACTTCAGATATGAACCATTCTGACACAGCTTTAATGAAAAACACTGGGATGTTAGCTAAATAAAAGAGTGGGAATTGAGCGTTAAAATTACGTACACGGCTAAATAGCTTTTTATTTTAAGAAAAACTTGCAATTTGTGCTATGATAAGCAAATGGAATAAGGCCAATCATAGTTACAAAATAATTAATGTGCAAGTAAAATAGATCCGTGGTGCAATTTTCAGTACTAACGGAAATAGCTTGTTAGAAGCTATTTAATGAGATTAGAAAATAACTGTGCAACTGGTGTGATAGCACATGTAATAAACATTTTCCGTGTCCATCACTAAATCCAGTAAATCAATAAGTTAGCTGGGCAACATTCTTATTGACCTCCTTAGTTGAACACAAAGACCACAGATACTGGAGCTACGTCTACCGGTTTTCAGTTGCAGGTGAGCCCTAAAGAATAGTCCAGTCCACTAGTCATTCGTTGGCAAAATCTTCATTGTGTACATACTGTTCGAGTGCTACTTCAGTTACTGTACCATGGACCTTTAACTGTGGACAGTTGTACTAAAGAAAAGATCCGTTCTCGACAGTGGTGGATGATATGAGGTCATCGCTATCCACCGATTTTAGCCCGTACTCATGGCTGGGACCATATCGCTTTCATAAGCTCCTACTGAATCGTGCCGACTCTACAAAAGCCACACTACTTTACAGCCATTTAGCACACAAAATGAAAGTAAATAAAGGGTGTTTTCTCGTCCATACAAGGCTCATCATGGTTAATCCACACAAACGATTAATAAAGATATAGAAACGTTACATGTTGCCGGTAGCGTTGAATCCATGTTGTATGACCAGATGTAAATAAGAAGTTATGCGAGTACGTAACGGTGTTAGTTGGAGTAGCAGATGTATCACTGTATTTGTGATTGCGTTCATACGGATTGTCAGGTTAACAAAGGATAAAAGGAAATGTTTAACAAAAATGACTGATGTCTGTAAGTGGGCAAGATCATTTGGACTGAAAGGGCGGCGACTTTATTTTGCAGCGTCATGTCCGCTAATTCGCAGTGTTGTTAAATAAACAAGTAAGGATTTTACTAGCGAGGATGCTTCTAAGCGGAAAAGTATCACGCCCTAGAATAGTGCTGATTAATCTTTACGTCTGCAGACATTCCGGTACCACGGCACTATGCTAGGCAGTAGCTAACTGCAAACAATCGTACTGGTCGGGCAAAAGGAAATAATTACTGCCCGGTTTTAATTCGTGACTAGGTAACTTGGTGTTTACTTGCCTCGTTTTGTTTGAAAACGTTTGAAAATACTTTAATATCAAACCTGAAGCAAAACGAAAATCCATTTGGCTCAAGTCATTCCTTCTTTTGCGTTTAGACGGTATTATCGTGTCGTTTTCAGTCAGTTCGTGCCTCAGACACCTTGAAAAAGCAACTGTCTCATACTTGCAACGTGTTTGCGGCTTACGAAGCATAAGCAGACAAAGTTGCGGAAGCTGGCATCATTACTTCAGCAGATTTGTTTATGTACCTTGTGGGATATGAGGGGATAAAGAGTACTGAAAATCGGACCATTTGGCAGCAATCAACGGTTTTAGTCCTGTTGCCTATATTCTGAACTGATCAGTATTTTGTAACTCGATAACCCTGTTTCCGTAACATGCTTTAATGCGTCCTGTTCTTCAAGCAGTTCCACAATAAGATGCAAATGACACAACGGATTGGTCGGTTACGAAGAAAATATGCCCAGCTTTAATACTTGACACTAAAACGTTTATCCGGAACTCAACTCGCCAGCAGTTTTGCTGTTAAAAGTTACTTTTCTTAAGATTCATGCAGAGTGCATTTTTCTTAAGAACCAAAAGGGAAAGCTTACATATTGCACAACATTATTAATGCTTACTGGTTCAGATCTTAGCTTTGTTCTGTTGTTTTTCACTCTACGTTTTTATTCGCTTCCGTCTCTTTTATCATTTTTTCTGTTCGGTGTGATCGTGCACTCCCTTTTTGCTCCCACTTTCTTCACGCGTTTACTTCCTCTATGGGTCTCGGCGAATACAATCCACTTTCAGTACTAGTGGGTCTGTTCCGTTATTCCCATTAAAGTAGGTGCGTACTACTACTGAGGTGTTATTTACTACTGATATACCTTCTATTGCAAGTAGCCACTGCTAACATTTTACTGTGAGAGGGCTAAACGTTGGAATTAATAAGCAAAGGTTAAGGGTAAAAGCGCAGTGTGCATACATAAAAGATCCATCCCCCAAAATAATAAGCAAAACTGAACTTCTCTATGTGTAACATGTTTTTACCTTGAATAGTCTTTAGCTGATCGATGTCTTTGCTCAACCGATTTGTTAGTAGATTGACGTAAACTGTAGAAGAATGTGGATGGATAGCCAGGTAAGAGATAACTTGTAAGGAAATATTCGTGGTAGATATGGATTGATGGAACAAACCGTTTACAAACCGTTTACGAAGATCAAACAAGAAAAATTTCAAACATGCGCTAAGCTCATGGAACTGTGCCATACGCTCCAATAGCAAAAAGGTAGAATCTAATTGCTATAGTTGATTCCCAAGCTTGAAATTAATACACAACGTCAGTGCACAGCGTTTCTTAATTGTAATGTAACCAACTTAAAGCAAACAATGGTCAACCAGATACACGCTACTGCATATTAATAACAAGCTTGAATCTATTCAACTTAAGAAACTGCTGATAACCTTTTGCTTTTGTGCCTCACAAACAGTAACCATCTTGCTTTTACTAATAAGATTACATGAGGTTACTTGGATTGAATTTAATTCACCACACATACGCGATATTTGCTAGACACATTTACCTTTTGTGCCTCAGACATTTTGTCTCAAACGTTTGCATAGGTGCAAGATAATGCCAATACCGCCCACTAACAGGCACTTTAAAATGTTGGGCATTAAAAGCTTTGTCAACGCAACGTCATTGCTCTGACAATGTTACCTAGCCTGGTAGCGAAACTTTTGGAGCCAAATTAACTAACTCGGGTTTTAAATACATCCTCGCATTTCCTTTCCCGTGGTTACTTTTCACTAAATATCTGTGAACAAAGGCGACTTGTCCGGACGAGTTCCCGTTTACTAGTACTGACATTGGACACAATGGATATTTTGAGAAAAATAGAGAGTGGAAAAAGCGGTTTGTCAATTATGGGCGATGTTTTTAACTGCGTCGCAATATGGTTGTGTCAGAAAAGAAAGCAAGTTGGGAAAGTGAAGAGATTGAAAAACCCGAAAACATTAGCAGACATGATGGAGGCCAAGACATATCTTAGCATTCGAATGACATCAATCTTACATTTGTGGGATGCCAAAAATGGCTGCTACCTTGTACAACCAAAAGTGCTTTTCCCTATATCTAACAAACCACCGGCTGCTAAGCTGCGATGGATTTTAGAAAAGGCAGCGCACATAAAATTTTTTCAGTAATATATGGTTGAGAGGAAATATGCAACGAACATTTGAAGTCTACAGTGACAAATGAAATATTGAACTGTGAAATGTCATTTTATCGTTAAAAAGTATAGCATATTGGAGGTCATAATACGCCAGCATTTTTTGACTTGATAGTATGTAACCTATCACCTTTGAAACAATACTCACCTAACATGTTTGCTTTGTCACGGTTTGCTCTGTCGAGTAAACGCCGATGCTCTTGAATCCAATGTGGTAAACCCTGTGGGTTTGAAAGGTGTATTTGCTACACACTGTGATTTAATCTCAGCATGTATCAGCTGGATTAATTTGCTGTAATACTTTATGAGAGTCGGTTAAAACCGGTATATACAAGAATAGCTGTAAATGCGATACGGCGGATACATAAGAGAGTAGAACGCTAAAAGTTCCTGTACAAATACACAATTAACACATTCTAGTTAACTTGTTAATTTGTTGAATAATTTGTTGAATACTCCGTAACTACTATCTAACAAATGCGCCTACAGAAAATGAAGTGTAAGATTTGATTGACCTGGGCTTCCATCGGCTACTCTCGTACCATTAGAGGTGGCTATTTCACCTGGACAGAGTGCGTTGGGCCCGTCGCAACGAGACTGGACCTTAACGTGGTGCGACGGTTTGCGTACCTCATTGACCCATTGAGCTATACTGGGTGATGCCTCCGAGCATCTTGAGAGCTACTCCTACCAGGTTGGTCAATGGTGAGAGGTCAGACAAACTCAGTCTCCTGGTCCTCCAGGTTGGGGGTTTGAAATGGGATGGCGTCCATTTCTGTAAAACTAAATCACTGCCACCCCGCTGCCTTGCGGACAGGCTTTTGAGCCAAAGGCTTTGGATGAGGACCTTAATCGTTCTCCTGTCTAGGTCCGGGCGCCCTGGCAGTATCCCAGCCCACATGCAACCATGACATTTTTTCAAACATAAACTCCATCCTGCATCGGCCGTCGCGCAGATTATCAAGGGTCGACTTATCTGCTGCATACAGCAGGGCGGATAAGCGAAAACATGCTACTGCTGGCGCCTCCCTTCTTTCTTTTCCACCTTTTTCTCTTACTCCCATCCCGATCCCCATTACTAACCTTCCTTCTATAATTCCCAGCTTAATTGACAGCAACCGAAGTGCTACTAGAGTAGAACCATCTTCAGCCACCATCCCACAGCACCTATCGGACGCCTATCGGCAAAAGTTCCTTATAAGGCCAGGCTGTCCCGTTTCCATGGCGACCTTCAACGTCCGCACTCTAAGACAAACAGGTCAGCAGGCTGCACTCGCACGCACCTTGGACACACTGGGTGTTGATGTGTGTTGTGTGGCCGAAACTAGGTTTAATGACCCTAACGGGGTTATTGAATTGACTGCACCCGGCTTATCCTCTCGTTATTGGTTGCACACATCCGGAGACGCCGATGCGGCACTCACGGGTCAAGCTGGTGTAGGTATCATTCTCAGCTGCAAGGCTGAGTCATCGTTGGTTGATTGGATTCCGGTGAACAGCCGTTTATGTGCAGCCCGTTTGACGACATCAGCTAAGGTGAATTCGCAAGTAAAACAAAACGCTGTTTGTTTGTGATTTCTGCTTATGCTCCCACGGACTACAGTTCTAATGCAGTCAAGAACACTTTCTATCATGAACTGAACACGCTGCTACGCAGTGCTACTAGTTCAGATATTATAGTACTTGCAGGAGATATGAACGCACATGTAGGGCGTCTGAGCTCTTCAGAAGCTCAGCTGGGTGGTAAGTATGGACTTAACGCCGAACGGACTGACAACGGCGAGCGTCTGCTGCAACTGTGTGCGGAGCACCAGTTGTTTCTTACTAGCACTGCTTTTAGACACAGTGGGCGCCGAAGTGCCACTTGGCGTCCACCTGTAGCTGGTCAGCGATGGACCCAAATTGACCACATAGCCATAAGTTACAGATGGCGCGGTTCCATTCTGGATTGCCGCTCGTACTGGAGTACCTGTGTCGACTCTGACCATGCCTTGGTGCGCTGTCGTTTCTCCATGAATTTACCGGAAGGCGAACAAAGCGTCTCCCCCGATTGGCAACTGAGAAATTGTCCCAGCCCTCTGTTAGGCAAGCCTATCAAGAAGCACTGCATAGCGAACTCTCGCTGTCTTGTCCTAATAATACTGAACTTCAGTGGAATAGGATCTCGGCCGCCATGCACGACGCAGGAGCATCTGCTTGTGGCACTATCAGTCGTCATCGCACCAATCACTGGATATCCGAGAGGTCCGTGAACATGTTGGAAACTAGAAGACACCTCCCGGCTGGTTCTGAACACAATGTAACCAGACGAGCTATTAGGCGTGAACTAAAACGGAGCCTGCGTGCTGACAAGGAAGCCTGGTGGATCAGTAGGGCTCAAGAAATGGAGGAGGCAGGAGCAGTAGGCAATTACCGGAAGCTCTTCCAGCTAATACGCACCACTGGTCCGAGAAAACCAGGCGTCAGTGAGACAATCAGGGACAGCGCGGGTGCGCTGATACACAATAAGGAGCGCCGTATGGCTCGTTGGGCTGAGCACTTTGAACATCAGTTCAGCTGGTCCCCTGCTCCCGGACCTCTTCCTACTCAGGTGATGCAGGACGAGCTATGGACGGTTAGTTTAGAGCCTCCGTCGGAGGCCGAGGTCCGAAACGCGATCATAGCCCTCAATCGTTTTCGTGCCGCTGGCCCGGATTCCCTACCACCTGCACTATTTAAGGATGGAGGTGAGGTCCTCTGCAAAGCACTGACCTCCCTATTCGAACGTATCTGGAACGAAGAGAGTGTGCCGGCTAATTGGAGCGAATCGATTATAGTGGCAATATACAAGAAGGGCAGTCGCACAGGCTGTGCGAACCACAGGGGTATTAGCCTAACACCAGTTGTGACAAAATACACGGCCTCGATTCTCGTTCATCGCCTCACTGCGGAACGGGAATATAGGATTAAGGAAGAGCAGGCCGGTTTTCGCCCAGGGCGTGGCTGTATAGACCATATATTTACTTTGCGGCAGGTGCTAGAGCAGCGCCACGCATACCGCAGACCGACAATAGCTGTGTTCCTCGATTTCAAGAGTGCGTTCGATTCTGTCGATCGATCGATTCTGTTCGAAATACTTGCGCGGAAAGGTGTTCCCACGAAATATGTGAACATCCTTCGTGCTCTATACTCGAACACTAGAGGCCGCGTCAGGGTATATGGTGCCCTATCGGATAGCTTTTCGACTACAAGTGGCGTTCGACAGGGTTGCCCGATTTCCCCGTTTTTGTTCAATTTCGTCGTGGATTCTATCATGGAGTGTTCCCTTGCGGAATCTCACGATGTAGGTGTTGAATTGCTGTCTGGTGAACGGTTAGTTGATCTAGCTTATGCGGACGATATCGTCTTGCTTTTCGACGACGTTGGGGCGGCACAATCAACCCTGAATAGCCTATCCAGAGTGGTCCCATTATTTGGTATGCACTTCGCACCTTCAAAGTGCAAAGTGTTGCTGCAGGACCACCAGCCACTTGATGACCCCTTGATCCTTGCTAACGAGGAACTCGAGGTGGTTGATCATTTCACTTATCTTGGCAGCTGCATCAGCAATGATGGGCGCATAGAAACTGACGTGAGCTCACGCATTGCAAAGGCCAGAGCTGCCTTCTTGAACCTGCGGCATTTTTGACGACAGAAGGGAGTTTCCTTCCGTCTGAAAGGCCGGGAACACAAGGCCACGATGAGGGCCGTTCTGCTCTATGGTAGTGAGACTTGGCCGCTTCGATATGAAGAGCTGAGGCGCCTTCAAGTCTTTGATCATCGCTGTTTGCAAAACATTGCTGGTGTCGGATGGCACCAGCGTGTCCGCAACGATGATGTGCGTCGGCGAGTACTAGGTAGTGATGATCATGCTAGCTCCCTAGAACAACAAATAGCACTGAATAAGTTACGTTGGCTCGGGCACGTGCTACGCATGCCTGGTCACCGCTTACCTAGAGGAGCCTTGTTTAGTCTGCCAGGTGTCGGATGGCGCAAGGCTCGAGGTGGACAGAAGTTGACTTGGCAGCGGGAAATGAAGTCACTGACGACCAAACTGGGTGCCGTTGGTCCGTCTCGCCTTCCGGGTTGGAGTCCACGTGACTCACCTTGTGCATGGCTCGAGACTTTACAGGACATGGCTCGCAACCGACACCAGTGGCGCGTCTGTTGCCGTCTCCTAATCGGATTGTCTGTTTAAAGTGTGTTTGGTGCTGAGTTATCTGCGGGGTAATGGCTGATTATGACGCGTGGCAGTGAAAGCCGCAAGGAAGCTGTCTCGCCGATGCCGCCTTATCTTTGCACGATAGCCAGCTGTTTGTGACGGTATGTTGTTAACACAAGGTGTAGGCACCTTGACCCTGAATGTTTGCTTAGGGCATTAAGGTTTTCAGGTAAGTCCCCCTTCTCTCCCTCTTATTCTTTATTTCATAGGTCCTCATGGTTGTATGGCAGCGAAGCATCAGTTCAAATGACTGATGTACTGCTGTTGATGATGCTGATGATGATGAGTGGGTTGGGCAATAACGCAGGTAATGGCTGATGCATAGTTGGTAATAAATGATAAGTAATTCCCGCAAAAATATGATTATCAAGTTCAAAATCTGTGTCGTACTTGCGTAATGAAGTCGTCACTAGTGTGACAAGGAAGAACAACGGATAAGCTAGATTTAAGTAATAATGTCGCCTTTTCTAGCCGTTTTTAGTCTTTTATATTGATATATAATATCAAATTGCCAGCCAGTTTGAAAATATGTACGAGTGGTTTACTATAGCTTCGTCTTCATGTCTATCAGGTTTGCTGTATTTTTTATTACAAATAACTCATAAGACATAAGACATAGAATAAACGCTTTTACGCAATTGTTCTTAAAGTTTTGCACTTAAATGCCACACTATAAATAGCTGATATATGCGACGTAGCTCGGCATAAAGATCAATTATTTTGCATTAATTCCTTTCATTATCTTTGGATCAAACTTGGGGAATTACTGTAAGTGCCATTAAAACTTGTTGCGAACAGTGCACATTTGTCTTACTTCAGATGAGATTTGGTACTCGGATATTATCTCTGAACTAAGTACCGGTTGGTGAGGATTGCCACATTAAACTGAATTAAATGATATTCTTTTGTTCCGTGGTTTTCCTGAACTAATGAACGTTAACTGTTAATTGACTAAGGTCACTAAACATTACGGTAGATTAATAAGCAGTACAGCAGTCTGATCAGCGTTCAACTACAAACTATAACAAGTGACCAAACTCCCTCCAATTCAATGGGTTTGTGACTCCATTAAATGCATATTACTGTTTTACCAAATTGTTCTCCTCAAGCTATACGAGTATGGCACTTTTGGCCTGCAACAATTTAATTAGCAAACCTTACACTATTTTGCTATTTGATTTCGCCCCTAGAGTCAATATACGTAATGGAAAATCCTCTATAACTGAGTTTAGCAAACCGACCAAGCGTGATATTTTAACACTTGGAAGGTTGACCAAAATTATATGCCTTTACCTTCTTACCTTTATGAATTCTTCGTGCTTCCTAATAACATCCAGTTGTTGCCGTTGGAGGCTAAAAGTACGTTTCCGTCGACGCGTTAGATGAGCTCTGGATTTTGATGTCGCGGACAATAGCTGTTAGAAAAAAGGAACTGAGTAGGTACGGAATAACTTATCCCCTTCAACATATGTTCAGCAACAGCTGCACAAAAGAAAGTCGTTTATATTTCAGAAATTGTAACCATTTGATTGAGAATGGTTGCAGTTAATACCGGAATTTTCACGGGGCTGTAAAAGATCGAGCTTGATCTAAACGTTGAAGGACATTTCGTCACTGGGCAGTCGGACAGGCGATTTTTGCTCACTCCCCATGTCCCAGTGTCCTTACCAGGAAATCGTAACTTTAGTTTCTTGTTTTCTAACCCACACGAGACAGACGACTCCTGATCAGGCGAAACATTTGTCTAATTACTTGTCGGATGTCCAAATGGCTGTCTGATTGAATACAGAGGTGTTCAATCTTCGTTGCAAATAAGCGAGTTGTTTGCTATACGAATACTTATATTATTCAAAATAACTGTGCATGTTACCTAGCACATTATTCGCCTAAGGAGAAACAATGGTGCAAAGAACGTGCAGCCCACCAACGCAACAAGTGAATGATAACAAGGATTCCAGTTTCTTTTTCAGTTACAAAGAGCGCTGCACCAGCTTATAGCAATTCGTGGTTTAGTTTCAGTTGTTAACACTGCTATTCTTGGAAAACTAGGTTGACTTCTGTAAGATGATGCTGATATAAAACAAGCTGTAGACAACAGGAACGCGGTTACAGTTAACAAGTATATCGTCCTAAATATTAAATTTAGTGAATTCATTACACATTTCCGTTAAGGAACTGGCTTAAACTGTCCGCAACAGCTGACGGAATAATTCGCAAACGGGCGTCTACCAGGACACAGGTAGCCATGTGCCACATTCTGCGTTAATCAGAGCTCTTGGGCCAACCAGTACTCATAAAAGTAACAGGTTGCCAATACCTCAGAGATTCGCGAAACCTCAGTACTAAATCAACTTCCACCAATTTACTCTCATTAAACGGCAAGCATCCTTCCCGTTATATCGCTGCAAATAGTTAGTAATTTTGTGAAACGCACTTACCGGCAGGACCTGGATTCTTGAAGATTTATGACAGCTACCTAGAAATAGCTGCTCTATGAGAATAAACAGATCAACGCTATTCCTCTAGACGCACGGCGCCTTCGTGAGTATAGAACTGGAATATTAAGGAGTAATCCTTCTTTGCATAACAAACCGCGGTGAACTAATGCACGATCCACAAGCGTGTGGCATGTATTTGCTTTTGGTACTGAATGTAGATGAAAAATGGGAGGCATTGTTTGGATGTACTATACTCACGGCTTAAGCTCGCCAAAATGTAAGCAAATCTAAAAAATGCCTAGCAGTCTTCTTGAATCCAACTACCGTTAAACCTTATATACTAGCTTTTTCAATCTCAAAGCACTTGCAGCTTTGGAAACCGTGAAAGAATAACTTGGACGTCATCTGAAAAACAAAAATCTTGCAAAACCAATTGCCATCATTTTATCGAAAAATCATGTTCAGGAATGCAAACCAACCGCCGGGAAAACGACGGTTGACAGATTAGTTTCGTGCAATATAACGATCACATAACTGTCGTTTGGTCATATTTAACTTGTTGTATATCACAACGTAAATCTGATCAAATGGTATTATTACGCACTGAACGCGCCGTCTGCATAAATAATTTTATACATTATCGTTTGCTTTCACGGCACTGGGGCCGAAAGCTTTTGTCACGAGACCTTTCCATCGTCCCCTCAAGCCTAGGTCATTACTGCAATGAAGTACGTGAACTTTTGTTGCCGTTAAGGATTTTATATGCGATTATCAAATGACACGTTTTTCTTGAAAAACTGTGTAGTATAAGCTGCTAAGTCAAAATCTATGGGATTGTGTTAACAACACAAAATTACAAGGAAAGCTATGAAAACTTCTTTAAGGCCAAGAACTACATTAAGGTCAGAAAACCACTTTTTGCGGCACAAACATAAGACTGGCAACTTGCTATCGTTTCTATTTATGCTTCTAGAGCCAAGACGCTGCAGCTTTGGCATTTGTATAGCTACAAGACTGAAGCAAGTTCAACGGCATTTCCTGTTTCTATTACAGCGCCATTTTATCAGTTCAATGCCAGAGAAACTGCCATTCCCGGAAACAGAATTTTTTCTGTAGCTGATAATACTAGCCGTAAATTACCATATATAACAGCCACGCATCTATTCGAAACGCCCACTGGAGGTTACTAGCTCTATTTATGTGAAGGCAGAGTTCCATCAACATGGGCAGGAAGTAATCTTCGACTGATATTTGCCCACCGGTAAGGCTTCTTCTTGCACTGGATGTAGTCAAGAAGATGATGGTTACAGCTACATTGCTGGGCTGTCTAGAATAATACGGTATTAATGAGCTGCAAATGTATAGTTTCAGGAAATACAACTATTGAGCCACGAACCCGGTACTGCACGTAATAGCCAACAAAAGGACTGGAAGCCTTATCAACTACTTCCATTTTCTACAGTATTCGAAAGCCAAACTTGTCTTATCCGGATGTATAGGGTTCAGATATATGACGTCAGCGAAGCTATTTCGAATGCGTTGGTAAAATTCTCCAGATGCGCAACTGTGGTTCAGAGTTTTTTGCGACCTTTTGGACCCGGTTGAAATGTTGTGCGCCAGAACGCAAGGTTAGACCCTTGGTCCTCATCACGTCTTAGCCTTTGTTAATTAGCTAGCTGGAATTATCGCATCAAAGCATTTATTTACACTTGGATGAAAATATTAAGCTTCGGTGGGCAATCAAGTGGCTAGAAGATCAAGATGACCACTTGTTTGAACTTAAGTTGTGCAATAAACAATGCGCTACCTTGCAATATGGAAACGCGTGTAGTTGTATAAATTCACCGGAGTTGTGGGCTCATAGATGGCAGTGCAGTGCGCTCCAATTTCTGCATTACGGCTTCTGCAATGAGCTCCGAAATTGGTGACCCCATAGGTGTGCCTCTCAGTTGCTGGTCTACTTGTCAATCAAAGCGGAAATAAGTGGTCATGCAGAGGTTCAGGAATTCTCAAAAGCTTTCAGGTCGTATGGTTGTCTTGAGGTTTAGTTGATTCTCAAGTAGTTCCAGCATGATTTCTTTGGCCGATTCATGACTGATTGAAGACAAGAGTGCGGTACCATGGAATGAAAGCTAGCGAAGGATTTGTGGAGGAGGTTGAAACGTTTGGTTGCCGGATCAGAACATTTCATCAACAATGCTAAACAATTCCTTAACAAACTGCGAAGTGTCAGGATAGAAGACCACGAAATAATGCTTTCGTTCGATGTTAGCGCACTCTTTACTTCAATCAGTCATGAAAGCCTGGTAGTCTACAACGCATTCAATCAATCGACACATCGAACTGGACGCAGTATACTCCACACTACTGATGAACGTCCGCCACCTCGGTCGATTGAATCCGGTGGAACGTGTGACTAGACAATCAGAACTGACGGCAGACTCGCACGCAAGAACAATCAGAAAAAGGAGGCGAGGTCAAAGGTCATCCGCCCATCAACCAAGCTGAACGCGGATCGAAGTCCCAAGCAATGGGATTGCTCAGCTCCACGACCAACCACGACGGTGTAAAAGCGCACGCACACCAAGCTGAGCGCACTCTCACCGAGGCTACTCGACACTATGGCCTGCCACTCAACTACGCACTGATGCTGTCACCTGGATTGGTGACGAAGCGTTTGCAACAAAATTGCCAAGCTCAGCTAACATTTCAACAGCTTTCTGAACAACTTGATCTACCAGTCTTTATTTCTATAACATGGAACCCTAGAGACGTTTAAATGCATGTGAGTAAAGCAGGGCCGAGCCAATTTCATACGTTCAATTAGTTTCTCCTACACGGATATCCATGCTGTTTCGTACCGTAATGCCTAAACAGTAAGGCTACAAGAGCTCAGTCTGTCAAATGCAAGACAAATCGAGTTGCACAATGAGATTATTGTGCAAAGTTTAATCGTGACTTCTACTTTCTACAATGAGAATCGTTCAATATCACATAAAGTTCTCCAAGATGAGAGCGAGATACTTTACACAGCACGGTCCCACCGTGGTTAGCAAACAAAACACGAGCCTAAGTAGGACCCTGCCAAACCCTATGTTAAACATGAATACCATGAACAATGAACAGTTGCGTGTAAGATACAGCGTCCAGGTTACCATAACAAAACTGTGCAGTTGACAGGAAGAATAATTTCAACAAACCTACAAGAGCATGAAAGTGTCTGTAAGTGTTTGTATGTATGTATGTGCATCCAGTGTAAACCCGAAGCATTAAGACCGGAAGGCATGCGGATGGGAGCCAAGATATGGGATGTGTGGATGGAGCTGTGGGTGGTGCAGCGCAAGCCAACCATTGTCCCTCTGTATGCGCAGGCGTCCTGTGGCTGGCCACATTGACAGGCAAATCTGAAACCGGATGCCCCCAATTATGTATGTATATGTGCCCCACGCATGCTGTTGCATTCATGATGCTTCTTCACAGCAGTTAAGCTAAACCAACTTACACTTAAACTAGGTCCTTTTAATGTAGATAAAATTCATTACATTTCAGGTGGTTTGTTCTGCCTACCTGATAAGCTTCTCCCAACTTGCACATGTCGCTCATGCTAAATGTGGTAAACTTGCGTAATTTTATCGCGTGGTATTATTTAGATCACTTGGACATTTTGTACTTATCGCTTATTGACATTTAACCACTTTCTTCCCAATGCTAATTTAGCGAGTATTTATTTCGTCATTTGCGTTCTCTTTATTCGATATCGGCAGTTCGAATGATTGGCCGATGTTTGACATCCCAGGTGTGGCTGCGTTTGCTGTGCATGTTGACCAGGTGCCTACCCGTCTATTACCCACTACCTCATCCATACTGACTCCACGAGAAAGTTGGTCGTTGCTGAATGGGACGGGATGCACGGTCCTTGGGGTAGTGCTAGGCTCGAAGAGTGGTTCCATGCACACAGTGTGGAGCGGACTACGGTC